GTGACACAGGGACGATGGCAGGACCCTCCCCTGCCAGCTCTGTGTGCAGGGAGGGGACAAAAACCAGCCTGGGATGCACTCGCCCCAAACAAAGAGACAGGGCCATGTTCTTCCCCATTCCTCCCGCTCCAGAAATTTCCCCAAATTCCCCAACACTGACACGACAAACCAGCCCTGGGAGAGAGTGGCCAGACTTGATTTATGTCTTTCTGTGGACAAAACAAAAAAAAAAAAAAAAAAAAAAAAAAGAAAGGGAGTGAGGAAACGTTTCCTGGTTGCATTTGGGGTTTGGTAGTTGTTGTTGGAGTTTTTTTTAACGAGTGAAATTGTGAAATTTTGGTGTTTGCAAGAATTCCTGGTGCCTCCATCCACACGTGGCTGCAAAACCCCCCGGCCCGAGCCCCCGGTGTGGGGAGGGCAGTGGCACCGTGGGCCTGTGGTGGTGTTTGAAGACATTTGGCAACCCCTCCAAACCTCTTTTTCTATGTAAAAAACAAGATTTATGGTCATTTTGGGAAAGATTTGCCGCGGTGAGGTCGGTGCCGAGCGGTGTTAGAGCAGGGAAAGGGTTGCACGGGCTCTTTGAGGGCTGTTTTCCAACAAACTCAGGGGAAAAGGTGATGTTTGAGCCAATGGAAAAAATACAGAGTGGGGGGAAAATTGGGGATTTATATATATATTTTTTTTTACATCTAACCTGCAGCCAAAAAAATGATAAAAACCACAGCAAAAATCCTAAACCCCCTTGAAATTCCTGCAGAATAACTCCCTGAAATCTGCTAGCAATTTTTAAACTGAAATCCCCCCCTCGTCAGCAACAATTTCACCAGTTAAAAACCTGCTTTAGAAAGAAAGAGAAAAGGGGGAAAAAAAAAAATCTCTTTTCATTGCACGTTTTGGCTTTGAATCGAGCCAGGCCAGACCTCTGCCTGTTTGGGACCCAGGCCAAGAGCCATATGCAGGAATAAAGTAAATAAATTCTGGTCAAAACCAGAATATTCTCCTTAAAAGTTATTTTAAAAGCAAAGAAAGGCAGCAACAAAACTATCCCAACATGGATTATTTCCCTTTCTCTCCCCCTTTGCACAGAGGGACGTGGCTCGGCCGTGCCGTTGCGCCCCGTAGAATGGGACCTTGGAAAAAACCCTGCAAAAACGCTAAAAATGAGCCCAAAAAAAGGGCTAATGAGGTTGGGGGATGTTTTCCCGTGGTGATGGGGGGGGTGACCAGCCCTGTGCTGCTCCATGGGTATCTGCACCCCCTTGGCTGAGCCCAAAAGTTGGCATCGAGGTGTCTTAGCAGCACAAATCAACCATGAAATGCCCTTTAGAAATAAAATCCAGCTTTGAGGTGGGGGACACAAATTTCCACTTGTTCCCGGCGCTGGTTTTATAGACGGGGGGTCGTGAGGCTCCAAACGGGCCGGGATAAAAACCCCAGGGATGAACAAAGGGCCTGATCCAGCCTCTCCATCTCTGCCGAAATCAGGGTAACTCAGCTTCCACCCCTGGGGTCCAACCCTTCTGAAAAACCCCTTGGAGAAACAGAACTGCACCCCCAAATCCCCCCCCACACACACACTTTTTGTTTTATTTGAGGCAGCAGGGATGGCCTGCACGGGAAAATTAAATTGGGTTTGGATTCCACCCCCGTCCTCAAAATGCTGTTTGCAGGCAGCTTGGAAACATTTAAAAAAAAAAAAAAAAGGATTTTTGTATTTTTAGTGTTTTTCTGCTTGGGGGTTACACTGGGAATTGGGGTTCAGGCTGGTGGGTGCAGGCTGGGGGGAGTGGGGATGGTCACTGCGGGGTCTGGTGGCAGCTCTCCAGCTCCATGCCCAGCACAGCCCCAAATCCTGTGGCTCCCCCCAGGGCTGAGTAACCCCCCCCCAGATCAGGGGTGCCAGGATTAGGGTGCCCTTCCCTCTGCCAGGCCCTGACAGCACCAGGGCACAGGTGCACTGAAATTACCCCCACCCTGGGCCACTGCTGTTATGGTTTGTGCAGGATCAGTCCCCAGGCCCCTCGCTGACAGGGAAGAAATGGGATTAATTTGGGGGGGACACGCTGTGGGATTAATTTGGGGGGACACACTGTGCGCCCCTGGACCACTGGAAACCCGTGGGGGGTTTCTCAGAGTCAAGGCCAGCAGCCCTTCAGCCCCAGCTTCGAATCACCCAGGAAATACTTTTAACAGCATTACAAAAATAAATAACTACGGCAGTTATTTATTTATCATAAATAAATACAAATAAATATTTATTATAAATAAATAACTTCTTTATTATCAAGAATTAAATAACCCCTTCCCCACCACCCCGCACCCCAACGGAAAGGCCTCGCAGAAGGGAAAATAAAAAATCTCAGCCCTGCCTTTTCAACCCCATTTTCCCTCCTCGCCCGCCCTGGCACCGCCAGCCTGGCACAGCCAGGTGATCTTCCACAGCACCCCGGCTGGAACCCAAACATCCACATCCCCCCCAAAACACGCGGGGCCGGGGGGAGCCGAGGAATCGCCGCGGAAAAACAGAAACCCCTGGCAGGAGGGAGGGAGCTGCCAGCGGGCACCACGGCGGCCTTGGAAGTGGTTAAAAATTGGCAAATTCTTTCCCAGGGTTTATTTTTGTGCCGTATCGTGCTCGGAGCCGGGCAGAAAATGCAAACTGTGCTCTGCGAGCGGAGTTACCGCCGAGTTTACATTCCTCGAGGCTTCTGGAGCTGGGACGAGGCGAGGGAACTGCTCATTTCGGTCTTTTTTTTTTTTTTCAGCTTTTTAAAACAGGGAAGTGGCTTTTTTTGGGGGGGGTAGCAGATGGTGATTTAAAAAGAAAAAAAAAAACCAAGAAAAAAGTTCTAGAGCTTTTAAATAAAAATAATTTCTTTTTACTTTTTTATAGACAGCTGGAATAAAATTAGATCTCATTTCTGTGAGGCCGATGGCCGTACTTGTGTCTGACAAATAACTCAGTAAAAAAAAAATATATATATATTATATATAATACCCTGTGAATGTACAAATTAATGTCCAGTATCTTGGTATGCACGTGGTGGGTTTAGCAGGCAAAGGGGATACGGGGATGGATAAAATAACCTCCTGTGTATCCAAAATCCCTGTTAAATTCGAGCTGAGCCCTTGTAAAAATGATCAGGCTCACAGTCATTCCCCCCCCAGAAAAAAAAGATAAAAAAAGAGGGAGAAAATGATGGAATAAAACTAATGGAATGGCAGAGTAGATTGCTTTAATTTTATTTTAAAAATATATAATAAATTATTTAGCATATTATTTATCACACTGAGACCATTCAAGCTCAAGGCAGACGGAGATTATGTCCCTGTTTGTTCAGGACTACGGAGCGTGCCGAAAAATCCAGGCACACGGGGCACGCTTCGGCCCTCGGCAAACTGAAAAAATATCTAATTTTTGTTGCCTTCCTATAGAAAAAATATGGTTATTTGAAAGGATTAAGAGATTAAAGGATTACTCGATAACAAGGGTTAAAAATCCAGGTCCAGACACAAAAGGGGTCGATAGAAAGGAGGGAATCGCTCCCCCCCACACTCCCCCCCCACTCGTGCCCTTCCCTGCTCCCGGACCAAACCCGGCACTCGGGTCGCTGCCAACTTTTGGAGCGGGACTGGAGAGGGGGGAAAGCCCCAGAACCCTCCCCCCCCTCGGCTGCAAAGCGGCCTGTGGCTTTAAGAGTTTGGGGGAGGGGGGGCAGACATAGGGGATCCTTGCGGGGGTAAAGGGGGGACTGCGGGGAACACGAGGAGTGGGGGGGACAGGGATGGATGGGAAACCCTGGAGGGATGGGGGGCGGGGATGGAGGATGCTCGGACAGGGCCGGAGTCGGGGCGGGGGGGGGGGGGGGACCACAGCGGTGTCCGCACCCGAGGAGGGGGCAGCGGGGTGTCTGCACCCAGGGGTGGGGGCGGAGGGTGACCACGAGGGTATCCGCACTCGGGGCGAGGGGGGGACGGGAGGTGACACGGGGTGTCTGTCCCTGGGGGGGTTGGAGGGGGAGAGGGAGGCCATCGGGGTGTCTGCACCGGATGGGTAGTGGGGGGTGACCAGGGTGGGCGTCTACACCACAGGGCAGGCGGGTGGCGGGGGGATGTCCGTGGAACGCGGGGGTGTCCGCGGGCCGGGTTTGGGGGTGAGCAGCGCGGGGCCGGGGCCGTGCGGGGCCGGGGCCGCCGGGGGGGATGCCGGGGGGGGGGGGGGGCGGCCGGGGCGGAGGGGGGCGGGGGGTGCCCGGGGGATGCCCGGGGCGGGGGCGGGCGGTGGGCCCGGCGCTGCCCGCGGCTCCTCCCCGCGCTGCGGTAGCTCCGCACCGGGGCCGCGCCCCCCCCATCACCGCGCCGGGCAAGGCCGGGGGGGCGGCCCCGCAAGCAGCCGGCCCCGGGGGGGCCGCGCCGCAGCCCCCGCCACCTACCCGCAACCATCCGGGGGCCGCCGTCGCGCTGCCGGGCGAGCGGGGCCGGAGCCTTCCTCCTCCTCCTCCTCCTCCGCCTCCTCCCTCCCCGCCCCCGCACCGGGAGCGTCCCCGCCGCAGCGCCGCCGGTGCCCCGGGCGAGGGGAGGAGGCAGAGGAGGAGGAGGAGGAGGCGGGGGCGGCGGCGATGGGGCCGGGGCGCTGCGGGCTGCGAGGAGGAGCCGTGCCCGGCCGGAGTGGGGCTGCGCCGGGGGGGCGCGGGGGGGATGCCCGCGCTGCTCTGCCGTAGGCGCCGCCCGCCCGCCCCGCTCCCGGGCTTTATTTTTATTTAATTTTTTTTTTTAATTTTTAGAAAATAGATTTTTATTTTTTTTTCTTCTTGCCTTCCAAAAATACCCATCGCACCTCCGCCACCCCCCCCCCCCCCCCCCCCCCTCCCAGCCCCGCCACCCCCGCAGCGCATGAGGCCGGGCCGGGCGCGGGCCCCGCGCTCCCGCCGCCCGTCCCCGCCGCCCCGCGCCCCCCGCCCCGCAGCCCGGCTCCCCGCCCGGAGCATGGCCCCCGGCAGCGCGACGGAGCCGGAGCGAGGGTGACCGCCCGCGGGGGACACTGTGCCGCTGGCCTCGGGGAGGCTTTTATTATTATTATTATTATTGTTATTATTATTATTATTGGGTTTTTAAATTTTTTAATTCTTTCGCGGGGCAGCGCTTTTTTTTTTTTTTTCCTCCTCCTTCGGCGCGGTGGAAAACACACGTTTTAGACCAAAACCCCAAACCAGCCCATCCATCCTCTTTTGCTTTGCGCTTCGCAGCAACTTGGAGCCCGTTAATTGCACTTGGCGATGGTAGGTCCCATGACACTTTCGTTTTCTCTTCTACTTCCCCCCTCTCCCTCTCCACCCCCCCACCTCCAACCCCCCTCCCCGAGTGCGTGTGTTTGCGGGTGCCCCACGAGCAAAAGTTGCTGCCGGGGAGGGGGCGGCGGGGCGAGTTTAATACGGTGGCGGGGCGGGGGGGGGGGCGCGGGGCGGCGGGGGCGGGCGGGGGGAGCTGCCGCCGTCTCTCCTCCCCCGGCCCACCCGCCCCGCGGTACCGGGGGGGCGGAGGCGGCGGCGGGAGCCGCCCGGCGGGGAGGTCGCGGCGCGGGGGGAGCGTCCGCAGCCCGCGGAGGGCTGGATGGAGCTGAAAATGGCCGCTAAAAAAAGGGGCGGAGAGGCCGCCAGCCGCACCGACTTGAACTTGGAAGTGACGCCCGGGAGGGTCGCGCTCCAAGTCCGCGCTGCGCGGGGCCGCCCTGCCCGCACCGGGGAGGGAGGAGGGTGGGGGGGAATCACCATCCTCGATGTGAGAATAAAAACATCCCCCCCTCCCCGGCCCCCGCCGTGTGCGGGGCTTCTCCCGCTTCTCCTCCGTGCCAGGCCACGGGGGGAGCGCGGCGGCGCGGCCCGAGCCGCCCCGGGAGGGTGCGGGAGGATGCGGGATGCGCGCCCAAGTTTGCGCGGAGCCGCCGCATCCCGCGGGAACGGGGATGTCCCCGCGGGGGGAGTGCGGGGGGGTGAACCCCAACCCCGGGCGGGGATCCGGCCGCGGGGGCCGCCAGAAGTTGAGAGTGAAAATCAGTTGTGCGGGGAGAGACGCTGCGGGGGCTTGTCCCCGCAGGGGGGGAGGGGGGGAGAAAAAAGCCAAAAAAAGCGTTTTTCATCTTTTTGGGGAACGAGGCAGCGCTGGAGCCGCGGCCCCGCGCTGGGAGCGGCCGCGCTGCGGGTCGGGTCCCTGCAGGGAGCGGTGTCCCCGGGTGCGGGAGGGGCGCGGGGTGCAGCCCCCCCCCCGGCCCGGGAGGTGCCCGGGGATCCCCTTTGTGTTCCGCCCGTGGCGCTCCCCGCGCGCTCTCTAATTAGCGTCATTAGCGCCCGCGGATCGGCCGGGGCCGGGGGGGTGCGGAGCGAGAACTTGCGGTTTGGAGTTTGCCGGGCGCAGGCTCCGCTTTTTTTAATCTCCTTCTCTCTTTGTGCGGGGGGCGGGGGGGGGGGTTGCGGGGCTGCCCGGGGCGAAGCGGGGGCGGGGGGCTGCCCGTGGTGCTCCCCCCCCGCGTGATGCTGCCGGTCGTTAAATAACGCGGGGGGGGCGGGGGCGGAATAAGCGTCTCCGCGGGATGAGCGGAATGCGGCGGAGGCAACGCGGAGCTGGCGGGGCGGCCCCCCCCGCACCGGGGCTGGGTGCGGGGGGTAACACCGCTACCCTTCCCCCCCCCCGGCCCCCCCCGTGCCGGGGCCGCTGCCCAGAAGTTGCACATGAATCTGCAGGTTTTTTTCCTCTCCCCTCGCCGGATTGGCTCCGTTTAGTAAAAAAAAAAAAAAAATAAAAAATAAACCCCCCAAAACACCCAAAGCCGGGAGCGCTCGGCGCTGGCCGCGCCAGGGCGCGGGGGGACTCGCCACCCCCGGGGGGGGCCGTCCCTCCCCCGCCCCCCCCTGCCCCGCAGCGCCTCGGCCCTGCGAGCCAAAGGGGGTTCCTACATCTTTAAATGGGATGTAATATTTTGGGATGGGCTTTTTTCATAACGTCACTTCATTCCTCGCTCCTTTTTTTTTTTTCCTTCTTTTTTTTTTTTTTTTTTCATTTTCTCATTCTTTCTTTCCTCCCTCTCTCCGCTGCCCGGGTCTCGGATGGAGCCGCTTCCCCTCTAACTTCCCCGCCGCCCGTGCCTGCAGGCTGGGTGCGGACCCCCGAGCCCCTCCCGGGCGAGGATGACCCTTCTGCCTCTTTAAAACGCCCCCCCTAAACAAACAACAACAACAACAAAAAAGCGCTTTATTTTTTAAGGGGGGGGGG